GCCTAGAAGAGTGAAATACTCGTTCTCCAGCATAATAGCATCCTCAGGTGTTTCAGAGGGATTTATAAAAGCAAATTGTCTATTGTGCTCTTGTTCTGGGAACAAAATGAGGCATCTTCAGCAAAGGAAAATATTCCTTCCAGGTAGTCAGCATGGATGTTAACAATCTTCTCAGGGTTCGAATGTGCAGTTCCATCAGTGGGACCAATGAGCCCTTTTGTTTCAGAAAACGTTTGGTATCTAAACAGTTTACGAACTTCCTGCTAATAATTTTTCCCCTTACATGAATTGATTTTGTCGCAGGCTTCCATATATTTATCTGTTCTAAATTGCTGTACTAGTTTTTGTTGAGCTCGTTAAACTTTTTTTTCAGTGCAGGAATCTCGCATGCTCTAAAGTTTCGGTTATCTTTGATTAGGCGGATGATGAATGGTGGTAACGGAAAGGTGAAATATTTAAAAATGCTAGATGGGCTCGCTTCGTTTACCGATTTCTTAAGTTGTTCATTAAACTTTGGTGTAATTACAGGATCTGCTCTTATGAAGTCTTTCATTGCTGAGTTGACTCTCTCTATGTTGCAAAGTTTAATTTTTAGTTATAGTTGGAGCAGGTTCAGATAACTTTGATGTTGTGTTGATGTGAACAAGAATACCCAGGTGGTCGGAGCACAGATCATGAACGACCTCTACCGGGGTGATTAGATGTCTCATATTTCTTGTGCAGAAAAGCAGGTCTGGAGTAGAGTTCGGATTGTACTCCATAATGTATGTGGGAGGTGTCTTGATTTGTATAAAATTTGACAAAGACGGGAATTGACCGATGTATCTTTTCTTAGTTGAATTCGGGTTAAAGTCTCCGATTATTAAGCAATTATTGAACAGAGAGGCCATGTTAAATATTGACTCTTCAATTTGGCTGAACGGATGGATAAAGATTCGTCGTGTAGGAGCGGCCAAACCCGTATATGTACGTTTTAGCAGCGGTAGACGCTAATAAAATATACTTTTAGGCTTTTTATAAACACGAATTTTTCGCGAATATTCAGAAATTTGTACGAAGTGGAGGAGAGCGCAAGTGTTGAGTAGTTGAAGTGTATTAATCGTTTATGAAATAAATCACTCCTGTACAAATATGGCGATGGAAACCAGAGAAGACGAGTTAGAAACTTAGCCGGCGAAGAAAGTGTTTACTCACATAATGAACATGTTGACCCAGAATATCAAAAATTTCAACCGAACAAACGGCAAAAACCACTCTTCTCATGGACTTCTCACCATTTTATGCCAAGTATTCATCCTTTTGATGCATCGCATTCGGGTATTCGAACTGACGCTCTAAGTGAAAATTCTTTCGAAAAAGATTTCTTTTTGTGTTTTGTATCGCTTGACATTGTAAACCTAATAGTGCAAGGAAGAAATGCATACTATGCAAAAGTTGTAGAAAGTGGTAGACTTAAACCGAATTCACCACTTCAAAGCTGGAATGATGTAAATGAAAACGAGGTGTATTTATTCGTAACAGTATGGAGAGGGGGTGGGTTTCCGGAGGGATGGAAAGTGGGGGTAATTTGCCCAGTATATAAAAAGGGTAATAAGGGAAGGGTAGAAAGCTACAGAGGAATTAACCTACTAGACTCGGCATACAAGGTATACACGAAGATACTGCTGGGAAGACTGGAGAAGGAGATGGAGATGGATTTGGGGGGAATTTTGCCGGATGGGCAGACAGGCTTTCGGAAGGGAAGGGGAGCAATCGACAACGTGTACGTGTTGAAGCATCTGGCAGATAGAGAGCTGGATAAGAAGGGAGGGAAATTGTACGCCCTGTTTATAGATTTGAAGGCGGCTTTTGATAAGGTGGATAGGGGAAAGTTGTGGGAGGAGATGGGGAGGAGGGGGATCACGGAACACCTAATTGCGAGAGTGAAGGAAATATACATGGAGACTATGGCTAGGATAAAAGTGGGAGATAAGCTGAGCGACGTGTTCTGGACGACGAAGGGACTGAGGCAGGGATGTCCGCTGAGCCCAAGTCTGTTTGCACTGTATACGGCGGACCTGGAGGATAGATTGGGGAAGGGGCAAATGGGAGGGTTGGTGGTGGGAGGTAGAAAGGTGCATATGTTAGCATACGCGGATGACATCGTGGTCATGGCGAGAGAAGCGGCGGAGATGAAAGATATGATAAAGACATTGGAAAGATATTTTAGGGGGAAGGGGCTGGAAGTGAATGTGGGGAAGACAAGGATGATGAAGTTTTGTAAGGGTGGGAGAAAAAGAACAGAAAACTGGAGATGGGAGGGAAAAGAGATCGAGGAGGTTAGGGAGTATACTTACTTGGGGTATGTGTTCAGGGAGGACAACAGGGAGGGGCCCCTTGTGATAGCTATGGCAAAAAAGGAGAATAAGGTGATGGGACAAGTATGGGGTTGGGGGAAGAGAGTTTTTGGAAGGAATGTGGCAGCGAGGAAGATTATGTTTGAAGGCCTGGTTAGCAGTGTGATGATGTATGGAGCAGAGGTATGAGGCTGGAGAGAGCAGGCAATGCTGGAGGACGTGCAAGCTAGATACTGGAGATGGGTGCTTGGGGTGGCGAGAGAAACACCGGGGTATATAGTGAGGGAAGAGGTAAAGGTGGATAAGGTAAGAGTGGAGGCGGGCAGGAGAGCAGTGAAATATGAAGAAAGAATAAAAGGGAGGCCAAACTGCGGGATCTTGGCGGAGTGTTGGATTGAAATTAGAGAGGGAAAGATCAGATATGGGAAAGGAGACAGAGACAACTATTATAGACGAGCGGGCTACTCGGTAACTGAGATAAATAGTAGACGAAGGGTGGGTAGGGAGATGTGGAGGGAGTTGAGAGATAGGGACCGAGATATGCAGAGTCAGGAAAGAAGGACATAAATAAAAGAGGGGAGGTATAACGAAAGGTACACGGACATAATTACGGAGGGGCTGCCTAGATACTTGTTATTGGAAGGAGATGAGGAAGGGAAGGGTTTCCGTTGTGGAAACGAGGAGAGAGCTAACAGATACTGGTGATGCCCTTATACACACTCCAATATTTGCCACATTGATGTCGAGAAATTGTTATATGTGCATTTTATCGATGTTGCACTTTTGCATGCCAACCGAAGAGAACACGGCCAACAAACTTACAAAAATTCAATCATTTCTCGACAATGTAAAAAGAAATTGTAAAGAAATTTTTTACTCGTTTGAAAAACTGTGTATTGATGAATCTGCAGTTGAGTTCAAAGGTAGACTAAGCTTCAAGCAATATATCCCCAGCAAACGCCATAGGTTTGATATAAAACTTTTTTTGTTGTGTTGTTCCGAAACGGGCTATGTTTTGGATTTCATTGTGTACTGTGGAAAAAGCACGGATATCCAGAAATATCCGATTTAGGGTGCGTTTACGTTGGAGCTGCGATAAACGATACTAGCAAAATAACGAAATTGTTGTCGTAGTTTTATATGCAGGTGTTTATATTGGAGCCACGCGTTGTCACACGCTTGACAGCCGACTAACGATAAGAGCAACGCTAATTGTATTCCCTATTTTCTTTGCTATTATGAGGTGTGGTCGGCGGTTTATACAGAAAAATGTGTAATTCTATATCTCCAATAATAATTGGATTGCGACAAACATACGTTTTAAATATTTTCAGCAGATTCTTTTGGTCTTCCAGTATTACTTGGAGTGACTTTAGTTGCGCTTGTTTCTTGAACATGATGGTTAATGCTTTCTCTATCAATGACAATATTATGTAACAAACACATACACATAACAATATCATCAGCTACATCTGTAGATATTTGTATCGCTGTTCCTAGAATTCTCCCCTTAGTATACAGTATTTCAAAAGCACATTCAACAGTTTTTCGTGCTCTTGATAATCTAGCATTAAAGTAGTCTTTATCTGTATCAATTTATTGTCTTCTATAAGGTTTCGATAGATTAGGGAGAAGTGGAAAGGCTTCAGCACCTATGATAACATGGGGTACAGTGATGTATATTAAATGAATTTTGGAGGGTGTTGCCTTAAGTGTTTATAAAGGTGAAGAAATTCTCCAAACGTATACCGTTTCGTATTTATTATATTGTAATGAAACGTCACCTACAAAGCAGAGATCGTCGCTATTATCAACGCTCCACAATAAACAGCATATCATAGAAATGAATTTTGCGCAGCTCTTATCGTTTATCGCAGGTCTCGTTCCAATATAAACACCTGCATATAAAACTATGGCAATTTCGTTGTTTTGCTAGTATCGTCGCTATTATCGTTTATCGCAGCTCCAACGTAAACGCACCCTTAGGAGTATCTGGAAGTGTGGTCATAACGCGTTTGGAACCATATATAGGAAAAGGTCATAAATTATACATTGACAACTGGTACACTAGTCCAATATTATTTGACACACTCCACCAACAAAAAACCAATGCTTGTGGTACAGTAAAAAAGAACAGGAAAGGGATGCCAACATTTCGAAAAAATAAAAATAAAAAAGGTGAAAGCTTCTGTATAAAAACTATGCTGAGCATCAAATGGAAAGACAAGCGAAAAGTACTAATGCTGACGACAATGCATGAGGACACAATGGTTGATACTGGGAAAGTTGATAGGACCACGAACCAGAAACAGAGAAAACCATGTTGCATTGTCGATTATAACCAAAACATGGGGTTGGTTGACAAATCAGACATGATGATTTGAGCTAACTGAAGAGCATGAGAAAAAATGTTAAGTGGTACAAAAAACTAGCATTCAATTTATTTGACATTATGTTGCTAAATGCTCATGTGTTATATCTTACGAAAACTGGAAAGAAACCTTCCTTGGCTGATTTCCAGTCAGCAGTAATAAAACAAATGATACACCAATTTCATGTACCCTCTATCAAACAAAATGGTGGTCGTCCGTCTACATCAGAGGTTCCCAAACTTTTTTTAGAAACATCCCCATTCGGAGTGGTAAAAATAAAAAAAAAATAGCATATTTTCTTGTGTTGTATTTCTTCAAATATATAATTATTACACTATTAATTATTATTGTTATCATATTAATGTAATATGATAAGAGTAGTAATATAATTAAAATTAAATATTAATAACGTAACGTAACTTCTACAATGACAATCACAAAATAGTCATAATTTTAATGGGACTTGGTGGATTGACAGCAAATTATCAATATTTGGCTTCAGTTTTGTTAGGAATAACCGCAAATCTCCCCGTTCTATGATATTCAATCTGCTCCCTTTTTTTTGTTAAAAGGTTTGTAACGACACTAAAACTTTTTTCGACAAGATATGACGAGGGAAACGCCATCAAAAGCTTTCTAAATTTCACTTTCAGCTCCTCATTAGTGTTAAGCTCGAGTAGCTCCTCTTGTAATATCACATTCTCCACTTCCGTTTTATCAAATGGATTTATGATCCTAGGTGGTATTTCCATCATCAGAATATCTTCAAATCTGATTTTGAAGTCATCATGCAGGGCAATTAAATGTATGTCTGAATATCCTCATCAAGCCATTCTACCTGTGACAAGTTTGAAAACTGGGAAAATTCGCGCCGACTAACATTTTGCTTCATAAATTTCAATTTTCCAACAAAGGCTGAAACTACATCCTTTGTTTTTTACACCCTTCGTTGTTGTCCCCTTGTAATTGTAAGTAAATAGCATTAAATTTTTTGAACAAATCTGTCAAATACGCGATCTCGGCTTTCAAATTGATAAGGTTTTCTTTTAAATCTGGGTCTTTACTTTCCAGAAACTCTAACACTGATTGAAAAAGTGAATAAAATCTTGTTAAACATGCACATTTCGATAACCAGCCTACTTCAGTATATAAGAGTAATCGTTGGAAGTCTTCATCATTTTCATCGCACAATTGTGCAAATAAACGCGTATTCAATTCATAGCTTCTTATTTTGTTAACTGCATTAATCGCAAATTGAAGTGATGGGTGCAATCTATCACTCAAATTTTTCGCTACTAGATGTTGTCGGTGTTGTCTGGTATAATTCTTAAGTTTTTACAAGTAACAGTCGCGGAGGTTCTTAAAATATTATCTGCCTACATTGATAGGCAAAGTCAAGCCAACATTTTAGTTCTTCACTATCGAAACCAAAAAAATGTTCGTGAAAAAACATGCTTGCCGTGTTTGTGTAGTATGTTCGCAAACAACAACAAAAGCAAGGCGTCGAAAGAAGATTGCAACGTCGGATTATGTGTAGTGCCTTGCTTTCAGGAATATCACAAAATATTAAATTTTTAGGTTTTAAGTTCTGAAATAGTTTAGTAATCTTAATAAAGAGTATTATAATAAACTCCTGGATAAAATTAAAGCACCACTTACATTTTCCAGTACTTTTTAATTAATGATAAGTTATAATTTACTAGCTTTACTGCTAGTATGCTATAGATGTTCTTTGAGATTTAAAACAAATATTGACAAAGAATAGTTCTAGTTTAGACCATTTTTCTGTAAGAGTGAAGCTTTTGCGTGTGATTGATTTTCACATATGTTTACCAGTGCGAAAAATGAATCACCAAAGAAATTTATCGCTGGAAGAGGCAGTACGGGCATCAACTCTGCTGGATAAGGGGTACTCGATGCGTTATATTGCCAATGTGTTAGGAAGGAATCCTTCCTGCATAAGTCATATGATTAGACGGTTTATCAAAACTGGATCTCACATTTGAAGATCAGGGCAAGGACGAAAACGTTTAAATGAAGCCGAATTATAGAGCAAGAGACCAGCAAAAAAAAACATTATTTACCAGAGAGCACAAAGTTCAAAGATTGCGTTTTGCCCGAAATCACCAACATTGGTCTGTTAATGATTGGAAAAAGATTTTATTCTCTGACGAAACGAGGGTTAGCTTAAAATCTCCTAATGGACGTGAGCGTGTATGGTGAAGACAAGGAAAGAGATTTGCAAGTTGTAACATTGCTCCAAGAGTGCCGTTTGTTGGCGGCTCTGTAATGTTTTGGGGAGCCATCTGCTTCGACGCTCGCACAGCGTTGGTCCTTATAATAATAATAATATTCCTTTATTACCCAACAGGCATAGCCCAAAAAAGGATAACAATATATATTACATAATGTAATAATACAATAATATGTATCTGTATGTGAGAAAAAAAAACAAAAATTACAAAAAATTGAAGAAATTAACAATTGACCGAATTATAAAGAAAATAAAAATAAAAACTAAATAAGTGAATTTACATGTATAAGTGAATTTACATGCAGGTGATCACTGATTGTCTGGAATCCTGTTGCCCACTTTACAGAGAGTGTATGTTGGCGCCCGTCTCATAATGTTTGTCCTAGCATAAGGAATGACGAATACGCAGCTATATCTTGAGTTACTCCTTGGAACAACAAACCCTAGTCGCTCAAGAATGAAAGGGCAATCTATGATGTTATATTCGATAAGCCTTTGTAGAAACCTTTCATAAAACGCGTTTCTTCTGTCCATCAAGGAAATCATATTGTGTCGTGCAAGCAAATCATTTTGTGGTATACCTCGCTCAGGGTAAATTCCATCAGATTTGTAAAAAAGAAATTTTAAGAATCTACGATGGACTCGATCAAGGCTTAAGAACTCACATGCATATAAGGGACTCCAAATCAATCAAGCGTATTCTAACTTACTCAGAACGTAAGCATAATACAAGGTCTTTAATAAGCTGACACTTGTGAAATATTTAGACATACGCATCACAAAACCTAGGGACCTAAAGGTCTCCGAACACACATTATTGATATGTTTTTTAAAATTAAGACTTGCATCAAACAGGACCCCCAAATCCCTGTACTCCTCAACACGACTTAAAGTGCTGCCAGCAATATTGTAAGGATATATGCATGTTGACGAGCATCGGCTATAAGTAAGTACACAACATTTATCTATATTAAGGTTAAGTTTGTAGGTCTTACACCATTGCACTATTGTGTTTAAGTTGTGCTGCAGCTTATCTGCATCTGCCATCGATGAGACTTCGGCATAGATCTTGATATCATCAGCATATCCCCACATCCGACAATCAATTTTTAGAAGTAAGTCATTTAAGAAAAGTACAAATAATAGAGGGCCCAAATTTGATCCCTGTGGAACCCCTGAGGTAAGAGTGAACTCATTAGAAAAATATCCATTGTAAGCAACATAACATTTTCTATGTTGCAAATAAGAGGCCAGAAGTTGAATTGCTGAAGGAACAAATCCGAAAGAGCTCAATTTATACAAGAGAATTCTATGGTCAATCAGATCAAAGGCTTTGGATAGATCAGTGTATACAACATCCACCTGCCCACATCTATCCAGGGTGGTACAGATAAACTCGGAAATCGTAGCCAAGTTGGTAACTGTAGAGCTACCGGAAACAAAACCATGCTGGGAAGCTGACACAAAGGGGCACGTGCTGGTGTACATAAAAGAATATAATAACTTTTCAAATAGTTTAGCAAAATTGGATGGTGTACGATCATCCTTTTTATAAACAGGCACAATTCTTGATCGTTTCCATCTTTCAGGAAATTCACAGGACGTAATGGACAAGTTAATAATAAATTTAAGAGGGCAAGCAAATATATAACGGCAATCTCTGACCATAAAACTTGGCAACAAATCATCTCCAGCAGTATGTTTATTAGAAAACGTTGCCATTAATTTAATTAGCTCCTCTTCTGTAGTGGCATGAAAAGAGTATGGCAACGGATTGAAATTAGATTCAGTGAAAGTTCGGTCAGTAGATACAGTGTGAACAGCAGAAAACATGTCAGCAAAAGCATTTACAATATCTTGAGGATCAGCAAGAACATTGCTCTCACTATCAACCAGATTACAGGGTATTCTTGTGGTACGTTTCTTAGCTCGGAGAAAATTCCATATACTGGACGGATCAGTCTTGATGGTATTTTGTATGTTGTTAAGATACTTAATGCAACTGTCGTTTATTTCATTTTTTAACAACCTCCTTAGTCGCTTAAATTCATTATAAAATACTCTTTTTTTTGTTTTGATCCATTTTTTGTGATAGAATTTTTTGATATCAATATGTTTCTTTATTTCCGGCGAAAACCACGGTGGGTAAGAACTATCAGATTTGGTTTTAATAGGGACGTGTGTATTAATTACGGAGTAAATGGCATCATAGAAGGCATCCAAAGCCTCATTGACATCGGTATGGGAAAGCAAAAAAGACCAATCATACTTAAAGAAGTGATCATATAATGCAGGGTAATTTGCTCGATGGAAGTCATATCGTAAATTATCAGAAGATGGGAACCGCTGTTGATTAGTAGGTGTAGAGTAGTAAACTTCCACTTCAAGACTGAGATGATAAGAATCTTCTGGTACAACTGGATTGTCAGATCTTATTATGTGAAAATTCAGGTCAGCATTAGAGATCAACAAATCCAACATTCTGCCATCTTCATTCTTAACGTTATTGTACTGTTTGGCATTAAGAACACTTAAAAAATCAATAAAAGCCCTGGTTTTAATTGAATATTGACTAGTAGGTAAAATTAAATCGGGGAGATTGAAATCTCCAACCAATACAAAGAAATGGTTAATTATAATAGCCTCAAGAGCAGTAGTAAATGTCTCCATATCATCAGAAGATATATCGGGAGGAATGTAGACTAGTATGATTAAAATAGACTTATTATTAATAAGACACCTACAGATTACTAAATCTATCATAGGTACTGTTGCACGAAGATGACTAGTATCGATAATGTCAAATGGTATGGTATGTTTTAGTGCAAGCAGATATACGTGCGAGGTCTATGAATGCGGATTATTACCTGGAAAACATCGTACTTGAACACGTAATGCCATTTGCTCCTTTTTTGGATCCTAATTTTGTATTCATGCAAGATAATGCACGTCGTCACGTGGTTAGACAGTTCATGGATTGGCCACCTAACAGTCCCAATCTCAATCCCATAGAACATTTATGGGACTATCTTAGAAAAAAGGTCCGTGGTCGTAGACTCCCACCAGCCAACCACAACCAACTGGTGGATGCAGTAATTGAAGAATGGGACAATATTCCCCAGGATACAATTCAAAATTTAATCGCTAGCATGCCAAGGCGTATGAATGCGCTAATTCGGAGTAGAGGAGGACCTACAAGGTACTTTTTTCATTCGATTGTTTAAACATTTTTATTTTGATTTTCGTTTTCATATCTCACACATTTTCAACAAAAGACGTATTAATGATTTAAAATAAGGTCATGTTTCGCTGATTCCTTTTTCAACCAATCTTATAAACCCAATTTGTAAGCTTTCATGCTAATTTGATTTTATGATATTCTTAATAATTTAATTATTTACGTTTAATAAAGTGGTGCGTTAATTTTGTCCAGGAGTTTAGTTTGATTTCATTTTTCTTTATATAAAAACTTGGCCCAAGAAGGTGTGTTTATAGAATTAATACTAGGCATCCAATGGGTTAATAATATAAATTGAAAATCGAACTCTTCAAATAAAATTCTTCTCTTCTTTTTAATTGAAATTAATTGCTTTAAAATATCACGTTGGGGTCACCAATTTATGGCCTTTGGAGTATGACTATAAAAATTTATTTTTTGGAATTAAAAATTATTTTTAGAGATAGCAATTGAGTGTTATAGATAATAGGTAGATAATGATATTATCTATTTCTAATATTATATTATATTTCTATTATCTATTATCTAACCAAATAACACTTGAACAAATTGTAGTTTTCTTTAAGGGGGCTCTAAAGTAAAGTTTTTAGTGGTGTGATAGTTGCTTTTATACTATATACTTAATCTTAAACTTTTTACACAAAAATTAATAAATTTAAAACTACACACAATAAAAAATATTCTTTTAAACAGTCTCAAATAATGAACTAAAGTTGGGTTGATCATTTAAAGCTGGTATTCTCCAACATTTAAGGCTTTTTTCACGATTTCTTTGTTGATTTTTTTTACTCTTATGATGTTTGCATACTTTGACTCAATATTGAGTCAAAGAGAGACACAAATGTGTTATAATCATCTTTGATATGTCATTTTATTACCTCATTCAGCTTCATTTTCTTCATATAAATTCCAAAACCAATTTAGCTTCAATTTTGAATCCTCCAAAACATTAAGAAATACATTTTTAATAATAAAACAAAAAATAGTTTTAATACAAAATAAAAATACATAAATCATTAAAACAATTAAGTTTTTAAAGTGGTATTTAAAAATTAAAATCGGTTAAAATCAATTTTTAAGGGTAAAAAATAAAAACTAACCTTACTTTTAATTAAAATTGACCGAAGATGGATCAAAATCACCCACAAAGGGACTTCCTTCTGCATTCCACGCCTTTTTCAATGTTTCCCTCATCTTTATTTCATCACTTGTAGGTAATCCAAGCCTTTTTCTCTCCTGGTTCCATTGCAACTCTTCAATTTTTGCTTGAGCTTCATCGGGGAGCTCCTCAAATGGTCTTGAACAATCCATTTTTGATAAATCCAATTTCGGTTCTGATTTTAACAAACAATCCCACCAAATTTCCGACCGTTTCTCTAAATGAACAGTTAATTTTCTTTGGGAGACATCCAATGACCAAATTGCTTCAGAATTTTTAACACAATTACATAATTCGTCTTCAATTAACACCAAAGAGGATTTTTTTGTTTTAATAGAGATCTTATTTGGATGAATCGCGACAATTAAATCTTTGGAAGTAACCCCAAACGGGGTTTTTATTAATACATCAACATCACTTATAGTCTGGGACCAAGAATAATTATCAAAAACACCTCCGTTATAACTATCAGAAACATTTTTATCATTTTCAACGTTTAATTTTCTTAAATCACCTTCAATATCATCACTTTTCATTGCAATCCCTTTATTATTATCAGTCTCATCATCGATTTCAACCTCGGTTTCAATTTCAGTTTCGATTACAGCTTCGGGGACCTCATTTTTGTTTAAATCCTTCGGTTTCCATTTGTAAAATGTATTTCGAACGAATCGTTCTGCGAAACCTTCCGGTAAACCAACGTGAGAATTCGAATTGGTTGAGATTACGTAAAAATCGGTTCTTAAAAGGAAATTAATGATAAAATAAAATTGATACATAACCTCAAAGTTGCGATTGAGTTACCTGCGGTTTAAAAAGCCGAAAACGGCGTCGAAAAAATTGGGCAAAGTGCGACATTCTTTTAAAATTGCGAATAAACTATCGTCGAAACGTTCGATATCGCACATTTTCTTTAAAAAATAGTTAAAATAATCCAAATCTTCGGTTTGTTTACGTTTTGAAATTTGACATTTGACATTTTCTGTCGAAATTGATGGGTTTGTGGTGACACCTGTGGAGAGGTTTTATAATGTAATTAAATTATTTAAATTTAAGTTTTTTCTAATTTATAAAATAATTAATTAATATATCGCCAATAAATATAGAACATTACTAAATTTTACAATTCAATTTCTTTTAAATATATCTTAATTGATGAAATTATAATGTTACATAAACTTTTGAACTCGTTAAAGTATTTCACATTAAATAGTACCTAGTGTTATGTTTGTATTAATATACTCTTGTTTATTATTATTATTAACTAATCTTTATTGAATGGATTCTTTCCATTGAGGTCTTATATATAATCGTTGAGTAAACATGTGATTATGAACGTACCCCCCCGCAAAAGCCTTGCTGTGACGTCATTGGAAGAATTGACATTTCTATATTTTTATTTATACAGTGTATTTCACTTAAGAAGCAATATACAAAAATATAAAATAAAATAAAAAAAATATTAAAATATAAAGCAAAATATTAACGGTTAAAATTTTATTTTTTTTAGGTTATCCAACTTGACTCGGTTACCATGGTGATTAAGATCCAAATATTGCAGGTGCTTGTCAAAATTGAAATTGAATTTAAGTTTTTTTAAGGAAAAAGTCTTATTTAATTGGTTTAAAAGGCTATATTTAACTCAAAACTGGTTTATCTAGGGAATTATAAACAAGGTAAGTGGATGAAATCAAAAAAGATATTTTTAATTTATTTCTCTTAATTAGAATCGATTTAAATTAACTACAAGTAACGAATTTGTTATGAATGCGAGATAATCGTAAAGAATTCGAATTGTTTTAAAATTAATAAAAATGAGGTTAGAATGGGGTCATACACACTTATTGAATTTGGGGAAAATTTTTACGTCAAACGATATATGCAAGTATATGCATGAACACAAAGTAAAAGAAATATTTTGATCAATTTTATATTTTGCGTAATTTGAAGTGAAAAATAGCAAATATTCAAACGAAATAATTTCGCGGCTTTTCTGTGACGTAGGAACCGCACAGCCTAAAACAAGTTAAATTGTCCGTTAGATAGCGCTTGCGGTGTGACAGTTTCAAAACAAAACATAATAAACATAACCTCATGGGGTGTTCACGTCCGTTCGTTAGATGAATAACGTTAATGATGTTTGGAGTAGGAGTGTAATCTAAATTTACCATCTATTACCATTAAAAAGGGAATACGGACCTTTGTTTCTAAATCTGTTATTATTCAGGTAGGTAAACAGAATGGTTGTTGGGTCAAATGTTTCCCAGATGTTTATTTTGTACCCCTAGTCAGGTAGAAAGTTTTGAACCCCTTACCATCTTTACCCTCTCTTCTTAACAAGAAAATATTCTAAACTAAAAATGTTAAAATTGTTCATTCACTATCTGTCTTTTGCTGCAGTTTGTGTTCTTACCAATCCTTTGTGTTTATTCTTAATAGTTATTTTTTTAATAGTTAGTAGTTTTTTGTAGTTAGTGTTTTTTTTAATATTCTCAATAGTTATTTTTTAATAGTTTTTTGTAGTTATTATTTTACTTATTAGTTGTAGCATTTCTCTTATTAGTTCATAATTTTTTTATTAGTTAATAGTTTTTTCTTAATAGTAATTTGTAGTTATTTTATTCCTTTCTTTATTATGGAGGCAGGCTTTATGAAAGCAGATTCTAGCAATTTACCTGCTGTTAATGCTTTTATGGTGCATACTTTTTATTGCAAAAATTTGAATTTTATGAGTGCAGAAATTAAAAATGTTAAAACAGAAAGGTATGTTTAATAGTTATGCTATTTACGCTATAATTTAATATTTTTTTGTCTATATTGTTTTAACACCTTACTGTTTTTTGCAGATCTAGTAAAGATTCGTATGGTGATGATGCAATTGGTAATGTTCAATTAAAAAGAGCAGACGGCTTATGCATTGTTAAAGCACTTATTACACCTGAACACCGTATTCACCAAAAAGGATATGGTGTTACTATCATTATAAATGAAAGGGACGAGGAAGTAATTAGCTGTGAATGTCATGACTGTGCAGCTTCGGCAGGTATTTATTAATTAATATTCTTAAATATGATTAATATTATTATTACCCAATATAATGTATACATATATATATAACATGTATATATTATTTTGGGATTCTTACCTATATAAATTGTTAAATAGAAATTTTTTAAAATGAATATAAAATTTTAGGTGGCTGCAAGCATGGAGTAGCTGTATTAATGTGGTTACATCGTAGAAGTGAGGAACCTTCAGTAACTTCTGTTGATTGCTATTGGAAAGCCCCCAAACTAGCAAAAGTGGGGAAATCTTTAAAAAACATAACCGTTCAAGAAATGTTTACTAAACCAATTCCCAAATTAAGAAAAAATGAAGGGCGCTTCCTGGAAGCTGTAGTTGAAAAGGGAAAAGCAGCTGGTAGCAGCTCTATATTATTAAATTATTTTAATGAAGATTCGCCTATTATGAAAACGTCAATACATCACCTTAGTTTAAAATATAAAGCAGAGAATGCAGTGTATAGTGCTGATGGGCTTATCAATTATTGTAAAGATATAATACAGGAAGAGGATTGCGTTTCAGTGGAAGCCTTAACCAAACAGCAATCAAAATCAAATGAGTGGTATGAGACGCGATATGGTCGAATAACCGCTTCAAAAGTGTATGAAGTATGTAGATGCAAAACTGAGGATGGATGTTTGGTTGAAAGCATTCTTGGTTCAGGAAAAATTCCTCAGACAGCTGCTATGTCAAGAGGACTTAAGTTAGGTAATATATTGTTCTTGTCAGTTTTTTTATAGCAACTAATTTGAGATATTTTTTTTTAGAGGAAGAGGTTCTTGACATGGTTCAAAAAATTTATAAAATTAATATAAGGAAATGCGGAATTTTTATATTAAAAGATTACCCAATATTCGGCGCATCACCTGATGGAATATCTGAAAAATATTGCATCGAGATAAAATGTCCCCAAGCCCAAAATTATGTTAAATATATTGATAATGAGGGTAAAATCTCTAAAAAAGGTTATGCCCAGCTCCAGCTACAGATGTTGTTCAGTCAAAGAAAACATGGACTGTTCTGTGTGGCATCTCCATCATTTGAAGAAACCAAAGCAGTCACTATTGTGGAAATCCCATTTGATGAAGAATATTGCAAAGATTTAATGCAAATTGCTCAAGAATTTTGGAAAACAGCTATTTATACCAAAATAATAAAATAATTTTCATGTAATAAATTGTACAAAAAATTAATTTTTTGACTTTTAATCATAAATATTGAACTCTTAACAAAAAATGCTCATTATTAAGTATTATGTGTAACAACATATAGAAGACATTAATATTAAATACCCTATCCAATAAGACAATATGTATTCAGAAGTTAATTTAACTTATAGACTTAATATAAAAACAAAGACATTTAATTTTTGACTCTAGCACTTTACATTGTTGATTTAGCTAATATTTTGTAAGATATTTGCTCTGTTTTTTAGATCTAATTGGAAAATGAAACACTTCTTAATTGATATAGATTACAATATTTATTTGATTTAATTAGTTTGATCAATTTACTTAATTAGGCTACCTTGTAAATTAATTATACCACATGCAATTATAATAATGTAGTCTAACCACTGAACAAGCTTACTTTTAACGCAAGCATGAGGAGAAAGTATTGAAAATTCGCGTAACCTTCTTATAACTCGCTCTATATGGATTCTCAATGCTGCAATTCTTTTACTTTCTAGAACTTCTTCTCTGGTGCTTTTTTTACCTGCACTGACAGATGGTGGTCGAATCAGTAAACATTTCTTTTGAACAAGCAGTTCATCTATGTGTTTGAACCCCCGGTCAGCCATAACTCCACAGTTATAGGGTAATGCTTGTAAATAGTTACTCATTTCCACTATTTCTTTGTCAGTAGTTCGGCCACCAAAACCATTTGAAATAAAGTTGACCAGTCCATTGGGAGTAGATGATATTAAATATTTTAAAGTATTGCATTTTTTATACTGACTCCAAGTCAAGGCTTGATGGATTGGTTTTCCTGGCTTTTCAATTTCAATTTCTAAGCAGTCAATAATAGATTGAACTTGTCGATATCTATATCTAAATGGTACTGGTAAACGTAATTTTATTTTTGATGCATTTGGCCAATAAATTAATTCTTGATAGTTACTAGCAAGTATAGGAAGCGAACGTATAAAACTTTTATTCACTAAAGAAACGCTCATTCCAAAATCTATTGCCAGTCTCATGTATGGATCATTGAGGCGTATTTTCTTAATAGTTATTAATACATCAGTGTAAGTAATAGGACTTATTTCACATGTGAGTCTAATTAAAAAATATTCGTCTTGTGGCAATCCTAAATAAAATCTACTGTTAGATTCAATATTTGACACAGTTAAATTTAAATTTGTTTGTTTTTGTGGTGCTTTTTTATATGATACATTTGTACTTGATGTTGAACTTGAACTTGCGTGAGGCATATATTCTGAAATAGATGCATCAGTAGAACTACTAGTTGCTGTCCAAGATATAGTTCTCTTCAGAGGATGTTTTATATTTATTGGTTTTAGCTGCTTTGTATTGCAGCCTATACTGCGTTGTTGTCCTTTCAAATTTATCTGAATTTTCTTATTAGAAGTCTCAAGATAGGTGTTCGTGCTTGCGTCACATTTTACTTTTACTTCTTCTTCATAAAACTCTCCTGATGGGGATGAAATAATGGCGGTTTTGGAGGGTGTGTACATAAATGATGATTTAATTAAATGTGCATTATCCAATGAAGACTCAGACATTTCACAACGCAATTCTGGGGTAGAAGGTAATTGAACGGGTGCTGAACATGTTGAAGGTTGTGGTTCATCTATGTCTTTACTAACAAAAAGTCGTTTACGAAAACTGCATTCTTCTAGATTTTCTCGTTTCCTTTTCTTAGCAGAATCAGTCAATTGGGAACCAAAGTACTTTCCCTCAATTTTTTTATTGGGTAATACATCTTTCTTCAAAATTAATTTACTTCCCATCATTTTAAAATACACCCAGTTTGCAGCATCCTTCTCCAACTAAAAAATACATGTTATATTGACTGTTATTCAAAACACAACTTTAGTAAAGTTTAACTTACATCAAAATGATCCTCACAACTAAACACATGTTTACTTGAATTTAATGCCTGCTTTGAATTTACAGCGGCATACCATTTAGCACGGACATTACTATCATACGGCACTGTTATAAATATTTTCTGAGGAAATTCTGTTGAACTATTATAGCAATTTGGTACAAAGCAGTATTTAGGTTTGACCATGTTGACATTAGAAAATAGTAGTAGTAGGATTTTTCAAATTGAAATAAATGTTTTTTAAACGGCTATAAAATATTTACAATAAAAAAACGATATAATCACTAAAAAATAGTTAACTCAGTACGATTTTCACCAACACATAACCAAAAACCGAAACATAAACAATATTGAAAAATATAAATGGCCGACTTTACTATTCTATCTCTTTTCAATACATCCTAAATGACGTTCATCACTTTCTCGCATTTGAGCGGGTAGCAGGGGGCGCAAAAGTGAGATTCGTACGTCATCAACGCGGGAATTTTAAAAGTGCAAATGGGTATACAAATTTTCAAAAATTTTTTTAACTATGATTTTGTTCGAAAATATTCGAAAAAAAAATAACGGTAACTATATTTTTATACAAACTTTCAGAAAATATAATAAAAAAAAAATCGTGTATGACCCCATTGATAAAAAATCGGAATAAAATTTTATTATTTTAAGGTTATCAACTTGACTCGGTTACCATGGTGATTAAAATCCAAATATAGCAGTTGCTTGTCAAAATTGACGTCGAATTTTAGTTTTTTTGATGAAAAACACATAATTAATTGGATTTAAAGGTTGTATTTAATTCAAAATGGGTAAATGGATGAAATTATAAGCAAGGTAAGGGGATTAAATAAAAAAAATTTTTTTTTAGATCAATTAAAATGTACAAGAATTTAGGGTTAAATAACAATTAAAACTAGAACTAACAGTAGACCTAGAACTAAAAAGTTTTAGGTTTAGCCGGGCGTCTTAGACAAGAACTTAGAAAGGTCTGAAGACGCACGGCTAAATCCGAATATTTCTAGTTCTAGATCTAGTGTTAGTTCTAGTTTTACATTAGCACTATCACTAGAACTAACACAAGACCTAGAATTAAGTTTTAAAACTATTTATTGAAATCCATATGTCGTTTATTTAAAAATTTTTTTTATCATTAAAGGTATGTTGGAAAAAGGGTGTAAAGTTGTAAGTTAGGAGTTATATAGGTAAGGATGGGAGTGTAGCCAAGGGTAGACAAACGTTTCAGAAACAAGTTGTTACTTATCTTGTTTCTCTACTTATCTGTTCTTTATTTGTTATGTATTTTTCGACATATTTGATGTTTTCCTGACGTTGTAGTGAGTTACCATTTTTATATGATATTGTTATAAATTAGAATCTTATATATTAGGTTGATTCTATTTAGTATTTGTTGTTGGGTGTTTTAAATTAAATTATAGGTGTGTTGCGGAGGTGTTAGGGGGTGAGAAAGGATGTAGTGGGTTAGGACAGGTTTGTAGCCAAGGAAGACAAAAGTTGTAGAATCAAGGTGCTACTTAACTTGATTCTCTCGTTCATTTGTCTATTTTGTTTTATATTGTGCTGTTATGTATTATTGTGTTATTTGTCATTTCCGTTATTTTCTTTGAGGTTGCATTCATTTACCAATCTTTTTTCTTTTGTATTCTTATGAGATTATTTTCCATGTTGAATTTGTTGTAGATTAGAATCTGTTTATGTTATGTTGATTTTATATGTTATTCATTATTATGGAGTATTAGAATTAAATTGAGAGTGGGTTGGGGTAGGAGAGGATGTAGAGGGTGAGGTATGTAGCCAAGGAACACAAAAGTTGCAGACAACAAGGTGCTACTTTCCTTGTTTTTCTCGTCCATTTGTCTTTTGGGTGGTGTGTATGGGGTTTTTAGGAATGAGTATAAAGGTCTAGTTCTTCTGTATTTGTTCGTTTAAGCATTGGATGTTGGAATGATTGTGGATACACCGAACCAAAAATGTACATTAATACAATGAAAAGCTACATTGAGACAATGAATTGAGTTATGGATTTTCAGCTGATGAACCAATTCATTGTCTCAATGAAGAGTGTTACATTAATTATATGAAATCGATTTTCATTATTTACTGAACAATTTTAATTGTTTAATGAACAATATTTATTATTTAATGAAAATTTGTCATTATTTAATGAACATAATTCATTGACGTTTTTCATTAATAGAATGAAACTAATCTTTATCTTAATGAATTATTTTTCTTTATTCAACGTAATGAAATTGAAAATGTAGTTTCAAGACTACATCTATACGAGTCACAAAAAAACGCTACTCGACCGTGGTAGTTTTTGACAAGGTATAATTTTGTGTGAAATCAGCAGTTTATTGCTCTAACTCCTGAAGGAGTGTTCTGTAGTTCTTCGGTTTTTCGAAGATGTTGTATCTGGTCTTCTACTTCACTAACAATAAGACTACCACCAACAAATATTACTGCTTCCTGCGAATCTTTGATAGTGTATCTAGTGGTTGCCTTTTTCCAGTCACATCTTTCTTAATACTTTTGGCTGTGGGTACCGAATAGCCATGTAGCGCCCAAAATAAAGCAGCATTGCGTCCATCTGTGAAACCATAAATAATAAAAAAAACTTGACAATTTAGTTACAAACAAAATGGCAAAATTTTAATTTTACAATAAAGTAAATGGTCTTTGTAACAATTTGACTTACTTTCAGAGATTGTGATGTCAGCAAGCCTCCCAATCAGAATTTTCACTGACTTGTCTTTGACATGGTTTTCTAAGCTTAAAAAAAGTATAGATTTTTTGCCAAACTCTGTCCCATCCTTACAGCAACCTATCTTTGCTATTAAACGCTGATTTGAAATCCATGTTAATCTAAAACAAAATACACTTAAATTTAAAAAAAATTGAATTAGTATTTATACCAGTCTATAACCAGATGGGGTTTTATAAAAAAGCCATTTTTCGATAATCTCGTTGGTACATTTTGATGCACTGGTGCCGGTATCCCCAACATGCTTTCCATGTAGCATCAAACTGTTTTGAAGTAAGATTATTGAATTTAAGAGCCCTCAAATAGGATTCTGCATCTTCTTCAGGTTCTGAAAATAGGTTTTCTTATAACATTTAATCAAACTGTGAGTAACAGATTTACCTGTTAGAATACCAAGACGTTTTTTCACCTTTTTTTGTTGTATTGATGTTACATATATTTGGAAACACCCCTCTTGAAGGTCGTCACTGAGTTGTGGTACTTAATATAAATCGTACCTCTTCTTTCCGTACAGTAATACTCCTGCATTTAAAATTGTCAATTAAACATTATATTATTATAATGATTATACAGGGTGATTCATTAGCTCTATGACAAACTTTGGCAGATGAAAGGTGATGCGATTCTAAGGAAAAAATGTTATATGAATATGGGTCCGATTCATTTTGGTTAAAGAGTTACAAGCCTTTGAAAATTTTACACAGTTTAAGAAGCAAATGAAAATGTAACATAAAAAATAAGTTTAAAAATTACAAAAATTGTTCGAAATGTCCGCCTTCAGCTTGAATGCACGTCTCACATCGACGAAGTAAAGATTTGCAACAATCGCAACAATAATTATGAAACACAAATACAGAGTTGGCTGTGATAACAAAACTGAGTTCTTTATGTCAAACATTTCAATTTACTCTATTCTGTGTGTTTCAAAGTTTATAATTGTCAGAGTTTTGATCGAAAACGAAAATGCGACTGAAGAATATGCAGATATTATTTTTGTATACGGGCTTTGTAACGGAAACGCTCGGCAAGCAGCAAGAGAATACATTCGTAGGTTTCCAAATAGACATCAACCTGCCCATACTGTGTTTAGTGCATCATTTCGCAGACTGAGAGAAACAGGTAACCCCGCTCCACTACATTCCGTTCGTCCCCATGATGTGAATGTACAAAATGAAGAACGTGTTATTGATTTAGTACTTGACGACCCTTCAATTAGTACTCGGCGTATAGCGAGTATGTTACAAATATCTCAAAGTTTTGTATGGCGTGTATTGAATCGAGAAATCTTACATCCGTTTCATCGCCAAAATGTCCAAGCATTACATCCTGGAGATACTGAGCAACGCTTAGCATTTTGCCACTGGATTATTCAGCAACATGCTCAAAATAATAACTTCATTTCCCAAGTTCTGTGGTCTGATGAAGCGTGTTTCACTAGGGACGGCATAAATAATTATCATAACGAACATGTGTGGTCCTTGCAAAATCCACATGCAATTAGACCAGGAAGATTTCAGCAACGGTTTAGTGTAAACGTTTGGGGTGGCATTTTTAACAATTCTTTGCTACCTGTATGGGTGATAAATGAACGCTTAAATGCAAATATGTACAGAAATTTCTTGGGACATAACCTTTTCGATTTTATCGACGACGTACCACTTAACATCGTTCAAAATATGTGGTATCAGCACGATGGTGCACCACCACATCGAGGAAGAGAAGTCATCGCTTGGTTACATGAACATTTTCCAAACAAATGGATTGGCAATGGAGGTCCAGTAGTCTGGCCACCACGATCCCCAGATCTAAATCCGCTGGATTATTATTTCTGGGGACACATGAAGCAGCTTGTGTACCATGTAGAAATTACTACCCGTCAGCAACTACTGGACAGAATTCAAGATGCAGCTAATAGCATACGGAATGATCCAAATATCATACGTCGTGTGATAGAATCTTTACTTCGTCGATGTGAGGCGTGCATTCAAGCTGAAGGCGGACATTTCGAACAATTTTTGTAATTTTTAAACTTATTTTTTATGTTACATTTTCATTTGCCTATTAAACTGTGTAAAATTTTCAAAGGCTTGTAACTCTAACCAAAATGAATCGGACCCATATTCATATAACATTTTTTCCTTAGAATCGCATCACCTTTCATCTGCCAAAGTTTGTCATAGAGCTAATAAATCACCCTGTATCTGCATATCAGTAAATAAATTATGTTGATTTTGAAAGAAGTTTCAATTTGAAGAAAGAATTAGGACTTACAAGCTTTTCTGAAGGGAATCTTTCAGAAATTCTTCTTTCTGTATGTTTTCATTGGCAAGGTTGCTGCAATATTAAAGTTTTTAGTTTGATCTGTTTATATTTCGTTAAAACTATCATTTGATATTAAGGAGTTTATAGAAGATGCATTCGTAGAATAATAAACCCGAATGACATGTCTTTTAAAAGAAGCTAAATTTTGAAAACCCTGACTACATTCCAGACATTGGAATGTGGAATTTGAGTTTCGATTATGTAAACGTGGTTACTTAGAGATTGAAAATTTCCATGG